AGAGATTTGGAGTCTGGTATGGATCTGGGGGGACCCCATGCCATTTAAAAACAAATTTGGCATGGGGTCCCCCTTAATATCCATACCAGACCCCTAGATGTTGGGGGGAACCCCCTCACTGCATCTGAAAAAATACCACATGTGATACCGACAGCAAAACCCTAGTGATAAATATAACATCTTTTTTTTTTACTTTCTGTTGTATTTGTGAATTGGACTTAACAGCTTACTGCATGTTTTGTTTGCGGTATTTACCAACACATTTTTATTTGTGCGTTAAATACCACAGAATCGTTTTACATTTTTTGTGAATTGGACATTTTGTTACTGCATGCAATAATTTATGTGAATGAGTCACGTGACAGTGTTATCGCATGCGGTAAGCTTTAGTGAATTGACCCCTTAGTGACTAAGCATGTTGGTCTGTTGGTATTAAAGGTTAAACTTCACTTCATTATTAAAATTGATTTAAACCCAATAAATGGACCGCGGCCTAACCTTTTCCACAATCCTTGTTGCTTGTTTATTTTATTATTTAGGTATGTTCTTATGGTATGATGGGTGGTAGCCTCCCTGGCGGTATTCCCAAGTGTAGCTTGGGGTAAAGTTTCAGTACCACAAGCGGTAACCCCGAGCTACACTCGGGAATACCTTGCAGCGCTGCTCCACAATCTGTTCTTCTCTTACCTTGTCCTGCGCTCCCGCGATGTCCCTCCTGCAGTGTCCCCTGTAATGTCCCCGGCGGATGCCGGCATCTGTCTTCTGGGTTCTGTTCCTTGAGACATCAGGACGTACGGGGACGGAACAGTGGGATATTTGAACATGACAAAAAGTGACATTCACTAAATTCACTAAAATCACATAGTAAAACATTACTGTCTGTATCAAAGCATTTTGTCCCTACTGCTTTGTCCTGTGCCCTGCCTGCATTTTTACCGTTCTTTCTGCCTAGAAACTGAAAAATGTCCATGGCGTCCAAAAAGCGTCCCTTTAGGTAAAAATCGATTTTAGACCAGCTAGAGAACAGCGATAGTAAATCAGAACCACTTGCAGAATTGAGTGATAATGATTCGTGGGGAAATTCATCAGACACTGAAAACGACTTTGCTCAGTGATGTGCGAACTTGGAGCTCTATTTCAAATTTCAGTGTTTTTGGTTTGATTACATTATTGAATTAAATGTATTATTATATTATTATTTTTTATGATTATTAAATTATAATTTATAATTTTGTGTTTCAAATTTTAACATACCCGGGATGTTTACTAGACTCTTGTACGGACAGATTTCAGTGAGTTATTCCTAAAAATTACAGGCCTACAATAAAAAAAATACATATTTCCATGCAAAAAAATGTACCGCTTTGAGCACAGAAATATGGACATAATCAGACTGCTAGGGAGGTTAATGGGGTGTACAATCCCATTTTTTTTTCAAAATTTTACCCATCTATGGCCAGCTTTATGTCTGTCCTTCTTGTCTCTAATGCAACTAGCCTAAAGGAAGGTGATACTTTCTTTTGCATTACCCCCCTCCCCATCCTTCTCCCCAGCATAATTGGTTAATTTTCCTCCGTTTCATTACATAGGGGAAGGATAAGCCAGTTTAGCAGCCACTTTCAAAACAACAAAAAGGCAGTCTGATGAGCTCAATAATGCCCCCTAAATTAACCCTAAACTGCCTGAGCTTTATAAATACCACCCTTATGGCCACTCTTACACTTTTGACTATAACACTACTGCTGCCTTTTTATTTTTTAATAATTATTTATGTCACTGTAAAGGGTTAGGCAACGTAACAGTGTGACCAGTAAAAAAAATAACTATAAATACCATCTAAAGGAATGTTAAGTCTTTTGGTTGTTTAAATTTGTAATTAAATAAAGTACTTGGAAGCAGCCATATTTGCTTATTACATACATAAGTTCTGCTTTCTGTTCTGCAGTGCTTAACAGTGGTTGTGTTCTTACTTCTCACAATGCAAGTCTATTAGTCCACAAATACTCTATTTAAGGCACTTGAAGGGTAGCTCCAATTCCGTAAAAAACTAAAAAAAAAAAGTGTATATATATATGTATATATACAGTTGCAAGAAAAAGTATGTGAACCCCCTTGGGATTACGTGGAGTTTTGCATGAATTGGGCATAAAATGTGCTCTGAACATCATCTAATCACAACAGTAGAAGAACACAGTCTGCTGAACATAATACTACAATTAGATGTTGCCATGGTTTAATTGCACAATAACATGTAAACATTCACAGTGCAGGGAGAAAAAGTATGTGAAACCTTTGGACTTAATAACTGGTTGACCCTCCTTTGGCAGCAATAACCTCAACCAAACGTTTCCTGTAGTTGCAGATCAGACCTGCACAACGATCTGGGAGTAATTTTGGACCACTCCTCTTCACAAAACTGTTTCAGTGTAGCAATATTCTTGGGATGTCTGGTGTGAATCGCTCTCTTAAGGTCATGCCACAGCATTTCAATCGGGTTGAGGTCAGGACTCTGACTGGGCCACTCCAGAAGGCGTATTCTGTGCTGTTGCAGCCATTGTTTTGTTGAATTACTTGTATGCTTTGGGTCATTGTCCAGTTGCATCATCCATCCTCTGTGGAGCTTCAGTTGGCAGACAGATGGTCGTCGACGTTTTCCTGCAAAATGTCTCGATAAACTCTGGAATTCATTTTCCCATCAATGACAACAATCCGTCCAGGCCCTGAAGTGGCAAAGTAGCCCCAAACCATGATGCTCCCTCTGCCATGTTTTACAGTGGGGATGAGGTTTTGATGTTGGTGTGCTGTGCCTTTTTTTCTCCACACATAGTGTTGTGTGTTCTTTCCAAACAACTCAATCTTGGTTTCATCTGTCCACAGTATATTTTGCCAGTAGTGCTGTGGAACATCCAGGTGCTCTTTTGCAAACTTCAAACGTGCTGCAATATTCGTTTTTTTACAGCAATGGTTTCCTCCGTGGTGTCCTTCCATGTACTCCATTCTTGTTTAATGTTTTCCTTATTGTAGATGTGTCAACAGAAATGTTAGCATGTGCCAGAGATTTCTGTAGGTCTTTAGCTGACACTCTGGGGGATTCTTCTTTACCTCATGCAGCATTCTGCGTTGTGCTCTTGCAGTCATTTATACAGGAAAACCCACGCCTAGGGAGAGTAGCAACAGTGCTAAACTTTCTCCATTTGTAGACAGTCTGTCTTACCCACTGGACACATGAACATCAAGGCTTTTGGAGATACTTTTGTAACCCTTTCCAGCTTCATGTAAGTCAACAATTCTGGATCGTAGGTCTTCTAAGAGCTCCCTTCTGCGAGGCATGGTTCACATCAGACAGTGCTTCTTGAAACCAGTAAACCCAAAACAGGTGTGTGTTTTTTTAAGGGCAGGACAGCTGTCAGCAACACATCCAATATCATCACACTGATTGGAGTCAAGGTTGGCTCACTCCTGGCTCCAATTAGCTCTGGGAGAAGTCATTAAACTAGGGTCTCACATACTTTTTCCTCCCTGCACTGTGAATGTTTACATGTTATGTGCAATCAAACCATGGCAACATCTAATGTTTGTGTGTAGTATTATGTTCAGCAGACTGTTATTGTTGTGACTTAGATGACGTTCAGAGCACATTTTATGCCCAATTCATGCAAAAACTCCACGTAATCCCAAGGGGTTCACATACTTTTTCTTGCAACTGTATATATATATTTATCAAATAAAAAAGTACTATAGCATATACAATTGCTAAACAAGCACAAGCAGTTTAACCACTTGCCTTCCTGAGGATTTACCCCCCTTCCTGGCCAGGACATTTTTTGCGTTACAGCGCTGTATTACTTTAACTGACAATTGCGCGGTCATACAACGCTGCACCCAAATTAAATTTAAGTCCTTTTTTTCTCACAAATTGAGTTTTCTTTCAGTGGTATTTTATCGCTTTTGCGGTTTTAAGTATATCTGCTATAGGGTGGTCGGGAAGTGGTTAATGTTAGAAATTACCTTTCCACTTCAATCTGTAGCACCTTACTTTTCTGTAAAATTCAATTTAATATGGCAAAACGCCTCCAAATATGTAATTTCCTGCTTGTGCGATTGGTTCATTGATTTTCCCAGAGATCTGCATTATGAGAAGTCAGATTATAGGCATGCTCTGCAACAGAAATATTATTTTTAGTGAGATCCACTCTAAAGGTTATTTCTAAAGGGATTTAGATGCTGTAATCTTTTCATTAGAATACAGAGAGTGGCCAGCTGATTGTAATGAACCAGTCCCTCCCATTCAGAATCAGCATGCAAAAGACGTGAAACACCAAACAGCTATTTATTGAGAGCAGAAACAGCAGAAAGGTAGGAATCTGCAACAAAGGTTGTTAAAATCCTTGCAATGTACATTGATCACCCAAATTGGATTGCTTTTTTCTCAACAAAAATGGAGTTACTCTTTAAATAAAAAGCTGTTGATAGAGAGTAATTGCACTGAAATCATAAGGGCTCCCACTAGTAGCAAATACACAGATCTGTATATTTTAAACTAAAACAGGCCAAAGCTTGTAACAATGGATCAATCACATTAAAAATTACTTTAAAGCAAACTCTGCAACTGAAACTGTTCACTTGCTGAAAATTGACTAGTTTTAAAGCATACAGTAAAACATTATCTTTACAATAGAAGATATTTCTGGTGGTGAAAATGCTTTTTTATATACAAAAACCAGTCCAGTACTGCTTCTGAGCTACACTGCATTGAGCCTCTTATCAACAGGAAAATGACCATACCCATAATCAATATGATACTCTTAGTAATATAGCAAATATTAGACTCCAAAAAATATCTCAAGGTATGCCAGGTTATTTCCGTTCCTTGTTTTTAGGGCAAATGTTATTTTGGATTTTCCTTCCAAATGAAAAGCACTGCTTACCATGAACAGCAACTTACTACTACAAAAGGTTAAAAAAAAAAAAAAAGGCATCCCGAGAACTAGAGCACTTACCCAGGCATAGTAAAGCACGAAGGAATATCATATGCAGGTTCAGAGTAGTCGGAATAACCAGTCCTAAGGCAAAGCACACATTTGCCATGTGGAATACCAAGTGGTGGATCTCTCTCCAGTTGTCACACACCTCCTCCTCCAGAGTCATGTTCTGGATGCCGCTTGTAGCATTCATTGGTAGCATAACAGTTAATATACTTTCAGTACTCATTTTTAGAAATCCTCAGGATCTGGTAAAAAAAAAAAAAAGCAAGAATATATTATAAAAGGCATGCCAGCAATACTAGAGAAATTTTTATAATCTTCAGGTTCTCCATGGAACCTCTACATACTTAGTGGGATAACCCATGAGAGTTTACTGTAAAGCTGAACTCCAAGGCTGATTAATCAGGTGAATTACTAATATTTATTTCTTCTCACTTGACAACCAGCATTTCCATCCATTGTCCAGCTCTACCAGGATGTGGGCGGGCCCTCGTGAACATTGGTTCTGCATTATACAGGATAATGTAGGATAGATCTTATCGGTTGGGCAGCAAAGAGGAGCAGCTTTGGGAGACCAGTAGTACAGCACAGAGGAAACATGTGGGAGCAAAGAAAAAAGGCAAGTATTTCACCATATTCTGATCCCCATAGGCAAATAAAGCAGTTAACTGTTACAGTTAAGTGTGGAGAAAGACCGACTGCAAGGGTATCCTTTTTCTCCAGCCCAGACTTCAGCTTTAACAGTATTTAAATTGAAACTTCAAGCGGTTGTAAAGGCTGAAGGTTTTTTTACCTTCATCCATTCTATACATGAAGGTAAAAAACCTTCTGTGTGCAGCAGTGCCCCCAGCCCCCTCAATACTTACCTGAGCCCCATCTAGATCCATGTGAACAACAGTCTTGGCTGTCCCAGGTCTCTGCCTCCTCAATGGCTGAGGCAGCAAGAGGGAGCCATTGGCTCCTGCTGCTGTCAATCACAGCCAGTCAACCAATGAGGAGAGGGGGCGAGGCCAAGTCGTGGCTCCGTGTGAATGAACACACAGAGCAGAGGGTGACCCCATAGCAAGCTGCTTGCTGTGGGAGCACCTGACAGGACAGAGGGGCCAGCTGAGCCTCGCGGGGGACCCAAAAAGAGAGATCCAGGATGCTTTGTGCAAAACCACTGCACATAGCAGGTAAGTATAACATGTTTGTTGTTTTCCAAAAATAAAAAATCAACCTTTAGAATCACTTTGTCTTTCAATCAACATTGATTATTTTTAATCTTTATGCTGCTAGCTTTAGTAAATAGATAGGAAGGTATGCTTTATCTACCTGTTTTAATCTTTTTTTAACATTTCTTCAGTTGCTTCCTGGTTTCCATGCCTAGACAAATGCCTGAGCTAAGGGCAGATGAATTCCAGGAAATAACTGCTACATGAATCATCTGTGCTTACTCAAGATGGCCAAAGCCAGAAATACTAGGGGGGTGTTTTTCAAAGTGATTTCTCAGCAAAACAAAGCATGGAGACATGGATGGATTGTTGAGTTTGCTTTGAATATTAAAAATGGATTAAATAGCGTTTTTGATTTGTGATGCTCAGATGCAGTGGAGTTCCATTTTAAACATTCTGGCCAACCAGTTCATTAATGGGTGATTAATGAATTAGTCACTCACTGACAATCATTCCTGGATAAAGCAAGGCGTTCTTCATTTGCTGCATTCTCAATAGTAAAAAAGAAAATAAAACACAAGTATGAGAATTAAATTTTTGTAACAACTCATATGCATTTTCCCAAACATAAAGACCAATTTTGTCAAGAATGACCCTTTAAAGGGTAGATTTCTTCAGGTATATTGTTTAACTTTATGATCTTTGGCTAAAATATATTTATGTGTATTCGTATGCATTTCTCTCCCAAACTTTTAACTGGCAAGTGTTGTTTTAGACAAAATACACTTAATTTGATGCTTTACACTAATAGACAACAGATTATTTTGGTCATACCAGGTCTTCTTTAGGCAAATATGGATCAAATACTGGGCCAAAGTAATCCAGCTGTCCATGCTTTTGTAGCAACTCGTACATCACCTAAGTAGGATACTTTGCAGCTTTTAAAAGCTGTTCTTTAGACTTGCTGTCAATCCTTGGGTGGATGCCCACATTCTTTCACACCATTTCAGCTCAATTATCTATTGGCTCCATGACAAACTCACAAAAGTATCACAACAAAGTGTGCAAATGGCTGCAGAACAGTACCACTTTTGATGACAACATGATAGGGAGGAAAACTTCTGGGCTGCTATGTTAACCATGTTTAACAAAATGTAGGAGCAAGAATTGATGGATTAGAAGCAGAGGTGGACTGACCATTTGGAAACTCGGGCACTGCTCGAAGGCCTGGGGTCAGTAGGGGGCCCCATGAGATGCCCCTGGTACCTTTTTCATAGGCTTTTTAGAGTTTGGGCAAGGACACAGGGGCCCCATAATCCCCTATTGCCCGGGGGCCCCATGAGTTGATGTCCGCCCCTGATTAGAAGTCATACTGTTACACCTAGAACACACAATGAGAATATCAGACGAAAGAGCGTCTGTTTTTTTTTTTGCATGCTAGTCTCATATCAAAAATGAATAATAAGTTACGAAAGATACAAAAATTCTCATATGACAGAATACAATTTCCGCAATGATGGATATAATGTATTGTATTGTACTGTAATGTATTCTTTCATTTCTGAGCATGCACAGTCTTGGTCACTCAATTTATTAAGGATGAATACTGTACTGATTAAACCAAAACTGTGCTTGTTCCTTGGGATAATTTTGCATTAACTGCCCTGATTGGCTTTCGAAAGCTGTGTACTAATGATCAGATTATCAGAATATCGCTCCGAAAGCAGTGTTTTTTATCCGATTTTCTCACTTGTACTAGACTTTAGATGTGATTGTAGCTTATTACTAAGCAATATTCTGTCAGTACCTCCAATTTTTGGGCCTTTTTCTATATGTGTAAAGTAGCACTGCAGATTTTTGCTTTAGCCGTTATTTAAAGCTGGAAAGATGAGCAGTACTTTGCATGAAAGGATGGGCATCATACCGGACATAGGCACAGATGAGCAACATTTTAATTGTGCAAGTGTCTAGCTCCAGATGAGGAGTACAATAACACTGATGTCAATGAAATGAAGTAATATACATTCTGCAAGTTCATAAAACAGAAGCACCTATATTTATATAGACCAGGGTCAAAAGATTTAGCATTTTTATCCAATGGAAGGATGGTTATACTGAGTTATTTGGCCATTATATTTGCTAGAAAGCTGAAAGTGCCCATAGGCATCAGAACACAATCAGATCATAATCTTACCCTCTTCAGATGTCTTCCAAGCCAACTTGGTGCAAAAACAAGATGCTTGGCTTGGCTAAGCCTTCATAAATAACTTATGGAGAGGAGCATAGGAAATACACACATAAACTCACAGGCTTATCTAGGGGAAACAAACTATCCAAAGTTTTTCTGCATTTCTACAACTACCATTTTCTGGCAATTCCTGCAAGACACTCATAGACATTAGGACAGCTTGACTTGATGACCTAGGTCTTCAAGTACCTTGATAGAATGTTAGCTCACTTACTGAAATATACAGAGACATATGAGTGATGTGAAGAGCTGCTGTCCACTAAAAGGTAATATTAACCCTTAGCACGCTCCCCATACATTTTGCATTTCATCTACAGAACCTCTAACACAGGGCTATACTTTACGTTTCTCTTTAGGTACAGCCCACAAACTGCCCCTAGGACTAAACTGAAGGCAAAGTCTATCTTTAAGTATGTTCTCCTGTATCCCCAATACCCTCGTCCCTAAGATGAGTGGCCATACTGGCCAATAGAAATTAAGCAGGTAGGGTGGACCAGCCTTTAACACCATCAGGAAGTGTCAATCTCTTCAAATAGGTGGCCTGAGACTTAGGGAGAGTATACTGGCAGGCATACTCTAATGCAGGGGTCTCCAAACTTTCTAAACAAGGGGCCAGTTTACTGTCCTTCAGACATTGGGGGGGGGGGGGCAGATGTGGCCAGTGGAAAAAACAATGCCTTAGACTTGGTAGTCAGTGGAAGTAAAAAAAATGACATAGCTTGTATAGTCAGCAGGAGGTGGAATAATACTCCATCACTGGTATTGGTGGGAGGAATAGTGTCCCATTGTTGGTATCAGTGGGAGGAAACGGTCCCCTATCCTTGGTAGCAATGGGGGGAGTAGTGCCCCATTGCTAGTATAGTAGTGCCCCACGCATATGGTCAGTACGATGAGGAATATAGCCCATCACTGGTGTTGGTGGGAGGAATAGCGTCCTTCTTTAGTATCAGTGGATGCCCCATTGTTCATACCAGTGGGAGGAATAATGCCCCTTCATTAGAATTAGTGGGAGCAATAGAGCCCCATTGTTGCTATCAATGGGAGGAATAATGTCCCACTGTTGTTGTCAATGTGAGGAATAATATCCCATTGTTGATGTCAATGGGAGAAATAATGCCCTACTGTTGGTGTCAGTGGAAGGTTGGCCTAGAGAACATACCATGTTACCAGCTGCCAAACATTATTTGTAATAAAAATAGATGGTACTGAATGAAATTCCCCCATTTAGACATATTTCATGAATTTCTTATTAAGCACATAAACATAACTATCTTTCCAAAGTAACAGCCCTAAATTGAAGTGGTACTTGTGACTGCTGAGGCATCTTAGCTAGAGGTTATATATACAAATCTGCAAGACAGGATGATGATACTGCCACCAAAATCTTAGATATTAATGTTATAAACAAGTCATTTTCATTTGTAATGTATCAAATGACAGAACATTTAAAATGGATTCTAAGCAGCTGAGCATTTCAGAAAGCACTTTCAAATAAATCTATAATCGGTTTACATTTCCCCCATAGATATGCATGCAATCGTGATAACCTCAATGCCAATATTTTTATTAGTGTATGCCAATATTTGTAAAGACTTACTTATATCTTTTTTTTAGATTAAAGAAAATATATATACGGTACTTATAGAAATGTGGGGGTTGCCAGTGCTGAGCTCCTTCTGAAAATAATACCTGTCTGACTATCACTGGCTTCAATACTTTCAGTCATCAACCCAGAACAAGCATGCAGATTAGACAGTATGTGTGATCTGTATATTTTTTTCTGGGTCAGGAAGAGATTTACTAAAACTAGGGAGTGCAAAATCT